GATGTTCTTGATAAAAAAAAAAGAAAAAAATTAAGCGGTCGAAAAGTCTAAACCTTCTGATATAGTCATAGGCGGACTTCAAACTGCCAAAAGTCACTTGATATAATTGTGTTTTCAATGAATTGCATGATGGTTATTTACTTCACTACAACCCTACTCCTAACTGTAATGGCAGACTGTTTGCTCTGATCCTTGCCAATTTTCCGGAGATAGCTGTAAGTCGCTGCGCTTGAAGATCCGTATCATCTAGCAATTTCAATTTTCTCTCATTGCAGAAATGTTCATACGTTGTACCGTTCTAATACTTCAAATATTATAATTATTATTATTATAATTTTAGACTAATGAAATAAATTCTTAGACTAAAAAAAAAGACATTGAGCACTAGGGTATCGGCTCTAATATAAATAAATGTACATTAGATAATGAGTTTAGTAGTATTAATAAAGTAATATATTGAATTTATATTCGGTTCTGAAGCTGATTTTAGAAAGTCCAAAGGGTTAGTCGCTCCAAACGCAATACTTCTAGCCAAGGAAAACTTAAGGCAGTCGCAGAGAATGTGGTTTATAGTTAGAGTTTGTCCACAACTGGAGTTGGGGAGGAAGACTTCTTCAAGATCCGTTGGTGAGTTGCATTAGTATAACCAAGGCGAATTCTCGAAAATATTTGGATCTTGGTTTTCTCAACGTTTGTTGGATATAAAGGTGAAATTAATTGAGGGTTAATGGAAGAGTAGTGTTGATGATGATATTGTGAATTTTCTTCTGCAATTTTCACTTTAACTTTTCTCCCAATGTATCCTTGAAGATCCAACTTTCCCATGACATCATCCATAATTAGAGGAGCACAAGCAGCATACTTTGCCGCTCGGTCAGCCTGCTCATTTCCCAATAAACCGATGTGACTTGGTACCCATGACATTTTAATTTTTCCCTCGGGTGTTGTAATTATATTGCTTAATTTGTTGATGGTGCTCCATCTCGAAGTCGAAGGATTCCGTATAGCTTGTAATACAGACAAACTGTCGGTAACAATGACGGTTTTGACTTTGCTTTTGTGGGTAAGGTTCGCAGCGTGAAGGATAGCTCTGGCTTCGGTTGTGAACGTTAAAGTACTTTCGTGAAAAATGTGATTGAGAAGAACCTGTCCTGTAGCATTTACCACGGCGCAAGCAGGAGGCAGGCCAAAAGATTTTGAGCCGTCTGTGCATAAAAGATTCCAACCAGTACTCTCCAATACTTGGGTTTTTTCAGCTATTAGATTCCTGAAGTCGTAATTTGGAGTATCTTTTTTTTGTGCATAGACAGCGAGATGTCAAACGAGCAGCCTTTAAAAATCCATGGAGGTTTAACACCAAAAAAGCGGAAAATTTTTAAGGGAATATTCAATTCCTTTGCGACGTACAATCAATGGTTAATTGCAGATGGTGACTTTGGAATTTTCTTCGCAATAATAATCTTTTTCACGTCATCACCGAGAATAGATTTGTTTGAATTAAGAAGCTTGGGAACTATTTTAGCTTTTAACTTTTATATGCGCATGGCTTCTCCAAGCAACGTACTGTATGAAATTCACCTTTGTTAAAATAGAATTTTTTAACCGAAGACAGTGTGCTCTCCAACGATGCTTGTTGGAATAAGTGAGCCCGAGAATATGCAGCGTCTGCACGTTTAGTACTGGTAAGCCATTAATATGCATCAGTAGATTTCCTGCATCGCAAATCTGCTTTCGACAAATGTGCATTTTTTTAGATTTTTGTATGGAAATGTTAGCCCCTGACGAGTTTGCCCATGCGGAGATCTTTCGTCCAATAGATTCGAGGATGTTGATTGCTTTCGTGTTGTCTTTTTCTTTTGTAAAAATTTATACATCGTCCGCGTAAATACAATGTTCCACTGTTAGTACGAGGCAAAGAATTTTGCTAATTTCGTTGAAGGCGATCTGGAAAAGCATGACAGAGACAGGAGATCCTTGCGGAATGCCATTCATTAGCGGAAAGGAATCAGAAAGATGATTGTTGATTCTAACTTTGAACCGCCGATACGACATGAATGATTTGATGTAGTTGAAGAATTTGGGTTCAACATTCCATGACTTCAAGAGTCTTCAAATAACAAGAAAACCAACTCTGTCAAATACTTTTTCATAATCAATTGAGAGAATTGTTACGTGATTTCGTTCGGAAATTGCTTTGCTTGTGAAAAAATAAATATGTAACAAAGCGTTGATGGATCCTCTACGCCGCTTGAAGCCAACTTGTTGCTTTGTTATCAGGTTCTTGGAGTGAAAAAACCAAGATAATCTAGATGCCATAATCTTTTCCAATACCTTTGAGAGGCAAGATAAAAGACAGATTGGGCGATAGTCCGATGCGATGGAGGCATTTTTTGACTTTGGAATTGGAACAACTGTAGCCAGTTTCCACATGTAGGGTATATGGCCAGTCAAAAAAACCGTATTGTATAGGTCCAGCAATTTCTTTTTACTAGACTTAGACATAGCGCTGATCGTTTGGTATGAGATGCGGTCTAGACCAGGTGGGGGGGGGGGGGGGGGGGGGGGG